ATAGAAGACAAGATACATTTAGCACAGTGATTGGGCATACCTGTATTAAAAAGGTTGTTTAGCTCAACTCCAAATTGAACTGAGTGTCCTGTCTTCATTTGCCAAATCTGTCAGTCCACATTGCTGATGAATGAGTAGAAGTTACCGGAATGAACAGAGGAAAGGGAAGGGAAGGGAGGGGAGGGGAGGGAAGGGTGTGCCTGTAAAGGGACAGCATGTGCAAAGACCTGGAAGGGATACCTGGAGAGGGGTGTCCTAGGACTCACCTAATGAGAGGAACACTGTCTGCTCCACTAGGGTGTGAGGTACCTGGGAGCAAAGAGCGATGCAGAGGATGCTCCAAACTGTCATGTTACTGCTGAGAATGTGCTAAGTGCCTAGCACTCGGGTGGCTTTTTCTTTTGTACGGTGCTGTTCTAAGTCACACAGATGCTGCCTTTCCTTTAGGGAGTTCACTGTCCAACTGAAAAGGAGGCAAAGAGAAGGAAGGCAGGCCCTGTGCCTTATAGCTGAAGGACTGAGACTCTTGGGGGAGGTCAGAAAGTGACAGTGTGCTGAAGGGAGAAGGAGGAAACAGAAATTTGAAGGCAGGGACACAGTGTTCTGGATATAGGGAACAGCAGATTTTTCTATGATGTCCTTCACATGAACAGATGAGCAGTAGGCTTCAAAACTGAACTGTGAGAGGCAAGGGCCTAATCAGAAGAAAGAGGGTCAGGGAAGGAGGCTGGACAAGGGGGCTAGGTCTGGGGAACCACTGCAGGGTATAAAGCCAGCAGGGTGCCTTGCCAGCTTTGAGTGACTCACACTGAACAGGGGACAGATGGAGGTGTGAGGCAGGGGGAAATGAGGGAGACCGGAGAGAACACTTCTGCAGATGTCCATAATGGAACTGTTGGTGGCATGGCCTGGTGCAATTGGTAATGCATAAGAAGAGGGAGGAGGAGAGCTGGATCCTGGCTGTGCTCAGGGGGAGACTTGGCAAGCCCGTGCTTCCTGGCACTGGGGAGTGAGGGGGAGGAAGGAGCAGGCATGACTCAAAGCTGTTGGTATGGGCAGATGGTAGGACACTGGTGCCATTTGCTGAGCTTAGCTGGGGCTGAGGAGGTTGGAGGGTGGTGGGAGAGTGTGGTTTGAAGTTATCAAGGATGAAGCTGGGGGAAGGCTGGCAAATGGTGGGCCGCGAGAGAGGAGGAAGCACATGAAGCTAAGCAGAGGTAGGTGTAACCCTCCCTTCCCCATACCTAGCTGAGTGGCTTCATCCATGCTCTCGCCCCCACCCCCACCCCACCCCTATGTAGTTTCCTTATGTGTGTGGTGGGAAGCAGAGGCCAGTCAATCCTCAGAGCAGTTGAGGAAGCCTGCAGAGAAAGCCCTAATGACCTTCGCTACTGCTGTTCACACCTCCCATTTTGTAAAAGGTTGGATCTGAGACAAAAACACCATGGGCATACAACTTTTGAGGTTGGCTTACATGGCTACTATCTGCAGGTCACTTATGCTGAGGATGATGGCTGCCACTTGTCAGGAGAAGATCATGTGACAAAGAATTAATGATTCCTGCTAAAAGTCACATGAGTGAAGGGGTGATTTCTCCAGCCTTCTGATGACTGTAACTAACCTCTGATGACAATTGGACTGCAAGCTCTCAGTCCAGGAAATATGAGTGATAAACAGGTGCTCCAAACCCCTATATTTTGAGATGGTTTGTTACCAAGCAAGAGATAACTAACTGTTGCAGAGGATAAAGGCACTTCCCATAGTGTCTGGTACCTTACTGGGGATGTTTATACATGCTGGATCCTCCACTCTAGAGGTCAGAAGGGGCTGGGCTGGAGGTATGGACCTGGGAATGCTTGGCTTAGAAACAGACATGAACTTCATAAGAGACGGAGCTGGTCTGGGGAGAATGACTGATAGAGAGGGGAGGTTGCCACGAAAAGCAGGTGTAAAGGATGAGAAAAGCGAGACAAGCCTCTCTGAATTAGAGAGGAGGTGATATAAAAGGAGGAAAGCAGAGAGCATGGCATCCGGAGGCACTGGGCACCTGCACATCTGTAGAGGCCTGGGTCATGATTGTCAATGCCAGAGAAAGTCCTACTAGTTTTAGCAAGACCCATTTAAGTAGTAGGTGGGCCCAGATGGAATACTGTGGGTCATGGATTTGTAACAGGAAGATGTACTACAAAAGAATAAAGAAAGGGGTTACTGGGTCAAAGGAGAGGACTATTGATCAGCATCAGGTAGAGTCCTGTGGCTGTTTATCCGGAGAGAGTCAGCAGAGGCAGAATGGAAGAACTCATTCCAGGGAGGCTACAGGGCTAGAAATGGGGATGGATCCTAGATGGGAATCATTTGGGCAGGAGAGAGAATTCCTTAACCATCTTAAATTAGAAAGGGCAGTGAAAGGCAGGTAAATCCTGAGCAGGTAGAGTAGGGATCTTGAGAGCTCCACTGGGGTACACCAACCAGCAGTAGGGTAAAGGATAACTCAGATTGGCAGGCTGAATTCCAACTTTCAGGTTTTTCAGCTGTGGCTTTCTTTTTCTCTTTGTCTTTTTGCAGCCTGTTGGTCTGGATTCCTTCCTGTAGCATTTGTATCTGCCATGGCTAACCCAGCCATGGGGCAAAGACCATTTAGACTCTCTTCTACACAGGAGCCTTGAAACCTAGAGGTTAACAAGAAACAGATTCCTAGGAATCATTGGAACGGAGTGTGGGTGCATGGGTGGGGATTTGCCAGCCAAGAGCTGGTGTTCCCCTACAGGCTGGCACCCCTGAGCTGTGCAGACTCAAATAGTTTCCAGGGTAACCTTCCATCCTCAATCCCTAACCAAGAGCTCTGGGTGATTTACAGGAGCACTAAACTACAGAAAACCACAGTCATAGAGAAGCCTCTCTGCTGCGAACAATCATTTCTTAGTTTAAGAGTCTCAGGTCACTTTGATAGCAAAACCACACAAAGATAGAATAATATATAAAAATAGCCTATCTCTTTCATATCATGGAAACGAACAATCCTAGTAAAATATTAACCAACAAAATCCAGCAGTATTGTGAAAAATAATCCATTATCAAGAATGCATGGATGGTTTAAAAACAGTTCAAGAACGGAACTCATTAAATTAACATCCATTTGTAGCAAAGCAGATGCTTCCTAACTCTACAAAGATTCTCTGTCAGAACTGATAGCCAACACCATACTTAATGGTGACATACTTAATGGTATTCGGCTCAATGTGGGCACATTTAATTAGCAGGAAAAAGGAAACAATTAGGTAAATGCCAGACAGAAGCTATCAACTGCCATTACCTGTGGACTCTATGGTTATTTATACAGAAAATCTAAACACACCTCAAGTCTTATTAAAACTAAGAATTAAATTTTCTGGATAAAATGTTATATAAAAAACCAGAGTCACTTCAATAAATTGTAAATTTGAAAATGCCATTCATAATATCTATATAACCTTTGAGACAAGAATGGTCAGATCTAGCTGGGTGTGGCACACACCTCTACTTTTAGGACTCATGAGGCAGGAGGGTCTCTGTGAGTTCGAGGCTAGCCTGGTCTACAGAGGAGTGCCAGGCAGCTAAGGCTACACAGAGAAACCTGTCTTGAAAAACCAAGGGACAAAAAAAGTCACTGATCATTGATATTTTTAACACTATATTCAATGGTTCTTCAAATTTTGTCTATGTATATTCATTAAAAAATTAACATTATCTGGGTGGTGGTGGCACATGCCTTTAGTCCCAGTACTCTTGAGGCAGAGGCAGGCGGATCTTTTGAGTTCAAAGCCAGACAGAGTGAGTTCTAGGACAGCCAGTGCTACACAGAGAAATATTGACTGGAATCCCCCCAAAAAACAACACCAAATCCAAACAAAACAACTTCCTCTCACCCCCCACCCCAGACAAACAAACAAAAATCAACGTGAGGACACTGCATGCATAGTTTTGTGTACTGATTTGCAGAAGCATTTTCCTGTATCCTTACTTAGTTTGTATTTTCACTTAGTGTATATGTCAACATAGCCCTTCATTATGTTGAAGTCCATGTTACTTATTTAACCCATCAATTTAAGTTTTGGAGAAAAATCAAATATTAGATCATATTAATAAAAACTAGATTCCAGAACCATCTCACAAACATGCAGATGTATAAACCAGATGAGTTTCTGTTTTGTTCTTTTGAGACTAAATTTCATTATGCAGTCTGGCTGGCCTGGACCTTTCTATGTTGGCCAGGCTAACAGAGAACTCACAGGAGACCATCTTGTCTCTCTGCCTTTTGAGTGCTGGGACTGAAGGCGTGCACCACCATTACCAGCCTAGGTAAATTTCTAAGGCCTGAGTAGAAGTGGATCACAGTCTGGCTAGCTATAAGCGAATGGCTTTTGGAATTTGTCTATGCAGTGTGCAATAGCTCTGCAGCCTTGGCCTCCCTCCTGAAGTGGGGACAGTATCCTTGACTGCCCCATCCAGGCCATGCTCCTTAGAGGCTTTGCACGTGACGATGTAGCTCTGCCCTTCAACTGGCTGTTCTTCACTTCCCAAAAGGCCAGACAGGTGGTCCTTCTCAGCTATTAATTTACAGAACGGCCTGCCTAACATATAAGACCAGGAAGGCTCTGAAAGAAAGCAAGAGTTCTTCCCTAATTTGGGCCCCTCCCAACAGGATTCGAATTTGTCTAGTTTTGTCTACTGGCTGCTTTCTTGAGTCTCGGGACTTGCTTGGGTCTGGGAGGATGCTGTACTCCCCAAGCCCAGCACACGATGAGATCTGTCAACTTAGTGAAAACAGCTGGGGAGAAACAGCTGCAGGGACAGACTAAGGCCAGGGCACGCTCGCTCAGAAGAGACCCACGGCTGCAGCCAGGACTACAGCCTGAGCGCGGAGGCGGAGTTAGGGGCGGGGCCTGGGCGGGGCGGGGATGGGGAGGGGCTTCGGCACTGCTGCAGAGCCCTGCTGACCACGCCGACCCGGCAGCGCCCAGAACGCCCGCGGCCGCCCGGCTCCCCGGCCTCCGCCCCACGCCGCCGATAGGGGGCGTCCGCGCTCTCGGCGCCGCGACTTTACTGAGAAGGCGCCGCCCGCGCCGGGCAGCTGGAGCCGCAACTCCGGGCGCCGGCTCAGTCGTCCCCGCCGCCGCCGCCGCCGCCGCCGCCGCCGGGCGCAGGCTCGCTCGCGCTCTCGGGCCGCCGGCGTCTCCCGGCCGGGTCGCCGTTGCGCTCGCGCAGTGAGTGGGGCGGGAGCCGGGCCTGTGGGGCTGGGGCTGCGGGAAGTCGGGCTGAGGAGGGCGGCGGGTGGCGGCCGCGCGTCCTGGGGCTGGCACGAGACCGCGGCGCGGCCTGGGCGGGGGACTTCGGGCACGCGCGGCCGCCGCGGGCTCCGGGCTCCGGCTCGGGTTCGGGGCTCGGTGCTCGTGGCCGGCCGGGCTTGGCTTGTGGGAGACCGGGGAGTGCGGCCGGGCCCGGGACCCCCGAGCTCTGCGCGGAAAGGATTATTTTTTGGGGAGTGGGGCGTATTAGTCGGCACTGCCCTAGTTCAGCGCCCTGCCTTTGGGGTTTTCTGCACGGATTGCAGCTTTCTGCTGGGATTTCGGTATGTCACGGCATTTTAGTGTTGGGTGTCAGAGGGGATCCATGGCGAGGTTGTGGGGAGCCCCTGCAGCACCTGCTGGGCAATGGCAGAGGAGACTGACTGGGGGTGGGACGGAGAAACGAAACGTGACTGAGATCCTATTTGGATATTCTGCTGAAGTTGTCATGTTTCTGTTCAGTACACAGCAAGTTGATAAATCCGGTTGTAGTTATTTGGTGATGCAAGGTGTTTGGCTGACAAGTAGACCTGGGGTGATCTAGTTTGGCTAAGAATGTTTGGGATATCCCAAGCATCTGTCTCCAATGTACAGGCCCCCCCCCCGCCCCCATTGGCAGGCTCATCTTTTTCTCTGTTGCAAATAATATTCAAGTATGGGAATTATGCAGCCGTAACAGGCCTGAAACCGAGAAGTGTTTTCAAAAGTGCAAAGGTCCAGGTAGGCAGGTAGGTAGGGTGGGAGAATCACCCTTGAAAACCAGTTACCCTTACTGATTCTTAGTTTTTTTGTAATGCCTTAGGTAGAAAGATAGCCATAGAAGATGCCATCTGTAAGGTTTGTGGTTCAAATTTTCTTAAAGCACATTTTAGCGGAAGCAGTATCACATAAAGCAGTCTTATTCCTACGATTCCTCGGTGTATCTTGGATTTTAATAGCTGGGGTCTATTTTAAATGGAACACATATACTTGTGTTCTGCTTATCTTGGAGACAACCCTGAGTCATGCTTTGTAGAAGTTACCAGAGCTCACGTGTCTGTTGTGTCTGTGAGAGCTGGGACAACCTTTACCTTTACTTCTTCCTTTCACTGTGGGACCTCCTGGGAAAGGAGGGCCCGGGCAATTGGGAGCACAGACTGACCTTCACCTCATCTTTTGCCCACTGTGCCTGACTTCGATACTCTGATTTTGTTTGCACTTCCAGGAGTAAAGAGCGATTTCCTCAGGCTCTCATTAACTCCTAGTTAGCCCTTCTCTGCTGGGAGGCTGCATATGACTTCGCAAAGTCATTGCTGCCCTGCCAGCCAGTTTTACCTGTGTTGTGTTTATTTTGCAGAAGGTCAAAATAGCCCATTTTAGTGGAAACTGAGGGGAAGTGGGATTTTATGATTTTTTTTTTTTTTTTTTTTTTGGGATTCTGACAATACTTTAGCTGGACAGTGTTGTGTTCTTTTGGTTTGATACTTTAGAAAATTCATAATTGTAAGACTTTCTACTTTTTGCCTTCAGCTCCTTCTAGCCCACATGGTTGAGAGAGTAGGAGAAAAAGAAAAAAAAAATCTCTAGTTTAGTTATTGGTAATTTAGTTTTATAATCCCATTATCCTGTGTGTTTGGCAACTTGTGCTGGCCTGTATGTGGATGTTAACTCAGACGACTCCCTTAGATGCACTGAACCAACTACTATAAAAAAGTATTTCACTTTCAAACTCCCACGTTTTCAAGAACAGAGAAACTCAGTACAAAGGCAATTTGGAAGGTAAGTATAGGTGGAGGAAATTTACTCAGTCTTCATTTTGGAATACCAGGCACAAAGGTCTCAGTAGAAAAGCACTTGAAAGGGCCACCCAGAAACACTGGGAAGGAAGTGATTACAGTGGTATCATTAGTCCTTCAAATTTGGAGGTTTGCATTACAGTACATAGACTGTTGCATGGGAGTAGGACTTTTGCCCTGGGGGAGCCTCAGTCTATAGCAGAAGTAAGTCAAGAATATTTGTGTTAATTTACCATAGCCCCTAACGGCAGCTGTAGTAAGAAGGAGACCACTGGAGTTCTCAAATGCTTTAAGTTGTTAACTTAGTGACTCGTGCATTCTTCAGATTCACTGGGGCAGTCAGTTCATAATGTCTTTCAGGCTTCTAGAAATTCTTCAGGATATATTTTTTTTAACTACCTGTGAGCATGCTACCAGAGTTTATCCAATAACTTTTGAAGCCTAAGTATAGGGGGCTTCAGGGTCGCCTTATAGTCTTTGGGCCATGAATTTTATTTGTATCAAGGGTAAGATATTTTCAGGTGAACTGATTTTACAAAGTCAAAAAACCTTTCTTTGACCTTTATAATTATTTGGTTGTAGTCACTGCCCTAAGAATGATCTTTATTTAGTGAAGGAAATACCTTTAAAGCAATGTTATGAGGAATGTCTAACGGATTTTATGAAAAAGTTATTTCTTGATGTTCCCCTCAAGTAAAACAGGCCTGTTTGATGCCCACTTGAAGGCCTTCTTTTGCCTGGCCTGTGGTTATTTAAACTTCTCATTAAGTCCCCACTAGAGACTATGCCGGATGGGAGAGAAGATGAAAAGGAAATGAATTGTTAGCACCCTGGAAAGGGTTCAGTGGGATGGACTGAAGCTGTTCCGGAAGGTCATTTGGGTTTGGGTTGTTTTATTGTATCCATGTCTGAGATGTCTCTGACAGTTCAGAACCTGGCTGTTGGGTAAGCAAGAGTCTTGCCCAGCTCCCTGTCTCTAGATTTTTGTAGAGATGCTCCACTGCAGATGTTTACAAGAAAGGTATGGAGATCAATGTTAAATGAATCAAGACTTTCTTCTTGCTTTTTGAGTTTATTACTGAAGGATTTATTATTATTTTTTAGGTATCTTAGTTATATTGGAAGTGACTAGTAGTGACTGTCTCATTTTATTTTGCTGTATCGTACATACAAGTGTAAGGCTGTGTGAGCCTAGGCTTGAATCACGGAGCTAGCTTATAGTAAAAGACATCATAGCATGAGTGCCCCTGCCTCCAGCCCCAACACACAAAGAAAGGGAGGGAGGGAAGGAAGGAAGGGAAGGAGAAAGAAAGGAAAGGGGAAAAGAAGGCAGGGAGGAGTGAATGAAGGGAGGAGGGAAAGAAGGAAGGAAGGTAGTGTACATTCCCATGACTGCTTTCCTTGATTATTTAGCTTGAGGTCTGTTAAGTGTTTGTAGCCAGACCTTGGCTTTTGCTGTGGAAGAGATTCAGAAGCATCTTATTTATGTATTTATTTATTGCTGTTTTGTTTTATAATGCTTGCACAAGAAGTTATCTTGTTTTGATTTAAAAGTGGAGATATACATATGAAAGGTTAGTCCTGGTGTAGCAGCGGTGGCATCGCTGTCTGATAATTTTCTTATGTTTTGGGCTCCATTCTTCACTAGCCACTCGATTGTGCATGAACCGGCATTCTTCCCTTGCTTAAGATGGACAGCAGCCATTAGTCACACTAATGAGTATGTTCTTGCCATTTAATTTAGAAGTGGAAATTTTTTCAGACTCATTATGACTAGTTAGCCTAAGTTTTTGTAAAATTGTAAATAAAGTGCCAGGTAGATGGTGTTAATAGTTGGCTATAGGGGGTATGAAGTTGATGCTTTTCAATTTCTTGGGTTTTTTGGATTTTGTTCTTTGAATTTCTACTATAGAAGGGGCTTTTGGAAAACTCTAGACTAGGAGTCAGAAAACACAAGCTAGTTCAGGTGTCCCTGCCTCTTTGTTTTATAACTGGATGGGTGTACTCACCAGCAGAAAGACGGTTACACCTGCTTGACTCTAGAATCCCTTCTATTTCTTTCAGTGTTCCTTCCTCTGAGTGAGCTCTTTTATGAAGTCTAGGTCTCTTTCTCCTGAGGACCCCACCAGTCCATCCTATTACATAGCAGTTTGGAGTAACATTGTGGGTTTCAGCTGTTGCATGAAAGTGCAGGAGGTCAGGGTTATGCTTTCTTATTCCTGTGTGTCTGTATTTCACATGGGCACCCTCGCCCCATGATAGCGGACCTAAAATAAATTTGTTTGAATGCTTGTTGAGGCAGTAGTGGGGGAAAGAATGCTTTGAGTTTCGGGAAATGCCTTTTAACTCACTCCATCATTGATTTGTTGTCATCAGTAACGAAACCAAAACTTCCATTTCCATCGGTCAGATGGGGTTTGTGGAGTAAGTCAGAGAATGAAAAGGTAAAGCAGCTCTGGTTTTGCATTTCTTTCATCTCACTGTAGTACATGGAGGCCTGGCTGTCAGTCAGAACCTAGCTGCTGTGAGTAAAGGATGCGAGCTGACACATCTCCACATTTTAGCTTGTTTGCTCTGAAGAATTTGTAAAGAAAGGTAGAGAAAATAGCTGCTGCAGGCCCTGATTTCAGCCCCTGCTGTGCTATGCAAATGTTCTCTACATGCCTGAGTGACCTTTTGAGAAAGAGCCTTTGTGATCTTCTGTAGCCAGGGCTTGTTCTTGTTCTGAAAATGGGGACCACATTCTGCTAAAAGTGGGGGAAAATGGATCTTCAAAGACACATACAAAGCTGGTGCTTTTCCTGGGTGAAAGAACTGGTATGATAGGCCCGTGTTTCTTGGCGTCTTTGCTAGCAGTTTTGAAATTTGCTGTACAGTGTGCTCTGTAGGTTGATTTGGTGAACAGAGTGTACGAGGGAGCTGATGAAGGCAGTTCAGTAGCTGGGGAACTGTGGCATGCCCTTGAGTTGGGGATAAATGCATACTGAAACCAGCATCATTAGTACATGGGCCTTCGCTTGTGGCCTAAGACTGGCTCTCCATGGTGTGGCCAAATGACCCTCAGTCGGGTCTGTAAGGTTCTTTTTATACCAAATTGTGCCTTAACAGCTTAAATCTGTTTCTGGTTGTTTTGATTAATGTGCCAAACAACAACAACAACAAAAAGCCTGAGTTGTTCTTTTTACATTATAAGATAATAATATTCTGGTGTTCTCTTGGGAAGTAACCATTACTTTTGAAGCTCATGGTATCAAGTGCTTTCTGAGATGCTTAGTTTACACAAGTGGCCTGTTTGCTGACCCAAAGAAATTTCCCTCTTTTCCCTAAAATGACTTTTGATGTAGAGCATCTTAGAGGTCTGAATCAATGTAAGGTTGAAGACTGAATCATAACGTTCTCTGGAAATACATAGTGTTACATTTTCAGAGAACAATGGCATCATTTGTCAGACTTTTTATTCTATGTGGTGTGGTACATGTGACTGTGTGTGTGGACTTTTCTCTTTCCACCATGAGGATCCCGGGGATCAAACTCAGGTTTTCCGGTAAGCAGCTTTACCTGCTGGGACATCTTGCCAGTCCAGAGTGATGCACTCAGAATGGTCCTTTCCTCTTTCTCCAAATATAGACTATTTCTTTGTGCTCAGTGGGCTCCAGGGGTAAGAACACAGTGTGGCCTGGCTTTCTTCCCACATCTTTGCCCTGATGTAGGTGCTAGCTGACCATATGTGAACAGTCTGTGAGATTTGATCTACCACGTTGGGCAGAATAGCCTTTATTCTCCATGGTTATTGTTTGTTTTTCTTCTTTCAGAGTCTTGCTAGCTCCTGGCTCCTGAAGACCAGTGCTGGAGCAGATGGATAATGGAGGCTGGGGTTATATGGTGAGTGGTTCTTCCTGCACTTTGAAGGCTAACACATAATGATGTCTTTCTCTGCACATTTATAGGCATATCTTCCAAGGATGAAAACTATGAATTTGTGCAGCTCCATCTAATTTGTGTAGATGTATTTGGAGTGGGCATTTTATTTGGTTTGTCATTTTAGTGAAAGACTTGCTGGCAGTGGTGGAGCATGCCTTTAATCCCAGTACTGGGGAGGCAGAGGCAGGCGGATCTCTGTGAGTTTGAGTCCAGCTTGGTCTGCAGAGCGAGTTCCAGGACAGGCTCCAAAGCTACACAGAGAAACCCTGCCTCGAAGGAAAAAAAAAAAGACTCAACGAAAAAGTCCCCAAATAACTTGTTTCTTTATTTTTATTGTGTGTGGGATGAAGCAATGAGTGCAGTGTTCTTGGAGGCCAGAAGAGGGCATATGATCCCTGGAGCTGCTATGAGCCACTCAGACATGGGTGCTGGAAATGAAACTCAGGTCCATTGCAATAGTACATTGCTTTTAACTCCTGACATCTCTCTGCCTATTTATGACCTACTTATAGCCACTGACATCAGATAGACCATTATGCTTTGATCTTTGGTGTATGTTACTTTTAAATTCTCTGTTCATAGAATGGATGTCTAAAGGGCCTGGGGAGAATGGACTAGAAAGTGCTCTGTTGTAGTACAGGGATTAATGGGCGGAAGGGGCTTCTCACTTGGGGTTTCATACGTGTCCATGCCTCCCCACTTTCTTCATTTTGGAAGAAAGATTTTGCTTTCTTAGAACCCAAAGACTGGCTTTGATTTTTTTTTTTTTTTCCTTAAATAGAATTTCTAAAGGTAAAGGTATGTTATTTTGAGAAACTCCCTTCTGAGAATTAAAGGTCAGATTGCAACAATAGTGTTACAAAAGTGTATGAACAATCAGATTATGACATTTTGAAGCTGCTACCAACCCTTGGGTATGTGGTAGCTTGGAGATAGAATGTAGGTTAGTTTGTGTGTACTAAAGCTTATGTATTTTCATTTAGTGTTGGGAACTTATTTCCTGGCATGGTGGCACAGGCCTGTAATGTCAGCACCTGGGAGTGCTGAGGGTTGTGGGTTTGAGGCCTGTTTTATCTACATAGTAAGATGCTGTCTGAACAACACAAAAACCATAAAAGGAAAAGAAATTGCCGGGTAGTGGTGGTACCCACCTTTTATTTCAGCAGTCGGGAGGCATAGGCAGAAGGATCTCTGAGTTCAAAGCCAGCCTGGTAGACAGAGTTCTAGAACAGCCAAGGCTACACAGAGAAACCCTGTTTAAAAAGAGAGGGAGAGAGAGGGAGAGAGAGAGATATCAAGGGAAAAAGAAAAAGAAATCATTGCTTCCATGAAAAGAATTACTAAGATTGATTCTAAACAATTTTTTTTGTCTTTAAGATACATTTTGGGGCTGGAGAGATGGCTCAGCAGTTAAGAGCACTTATGCTCTTGCAGAGGACCTGGGTCTGGTATCCAGCATCTAGCCTGTGGCTCACAACCATCGGTAACTCCAATTCCTAGACCCATCCATTCCCTTGACCTGCATGAGGTACACATACATACAAGCAGGCAAAACACTTACACTCATTATATATGTTTCGAAGCTGGGTGTGATGGTGCAACCTGTGTGTGATCTTAACACTAGGGCAGAGGCAGGAGGATCAGGAGTTCTAGACCATCCTTAGCTACACAGTAAGTATGAGGCCAGCATAAGTTATATGAAAGTTTGTCTCAAAAAAAATTGCATTTCATCATTTCATGACACATTTGAGGAAAAAAAATATTAAAACCAAAAATCTCAAAGTTAATTGTTCTACATTACCAGGTTATTTTTATTCTAGCTTCTGTTAAATATAAAAATCTGAAGGTCTTGTCAAGTGTAGTGGCATACACCTTTATTCCCATTAGGGAGGAAGAGGCAGGAAGATCTCTCTCACTGAAACCCTCTTCAGATTTCTTGGTTTGACTGTATGACACTAAAGATCACACCTGGCAGAAGTAGAGTCACTTTTAAAGATTGGATTTATTTGATTTGAAAGATGGCTCAGTGGTTAAGAGCACCCACTGCTCTTCCAGAGGTCCTGAGTTCAATTCCCAGCAATGTGGTGGCTCACAGCTATATGTAATGAGATCTGGTACCCTCTTCTGGCATGCAGGCAGGACATTCTATACATAATAAATAAATCTTTAAAAAAAAAAAAAGAAAGAAAGAAAGAAAGCAAATCTTGAAGCCTTTCTCCTGGGTGAGTTTTATTATTGAAAGTAAAGCCATTTTGCACCTTAGTTCTGCCAAATGTATTATAGCTTGAAGGGGTCTTACCCTTGCTTATTGGTGTTGATTTTCTTAATTTGTTGAAGTTAAGACTTTAAGGTTTCTGATAACTGATTTTTTAAAAATTTCAGATGACTGACCCAGTCACGTTGAATGTAGGTGGACACTTGTACACTACATCCCTTACCACATTGACACGTTATCCAGATTCCATGCTTGGAGCTATGTTTGGGGGGGACTTCCCCACAGCCAGAGACCCTCAAGGCAATTACTTCATTGATCGAGATGGACCTCTTTTCCGATATGTCCTCAACTTCTTACGAACTTCAGAATTGACCCTTCCCCTGGATTTTAAGGAATTTGATCTGCTTCGGAAAGAAGCTGATTTTTACCAGATTGAACCCTTGATTCAGTGTCTCAATGACCCTAAGCCTTTGTATCCTATGGATACTTTTGAAGAAGTTGTAGAGCTGTCTAGTACTCGGAAGCTTTCTAAATATTCCAATCCTGTGGCTGTCATCATAACCCAATTAACCATCACCACCAAGGTCCATTCTTTACTAGAAGGCATCTCAAATTATTTCACCAAGTGGAATAAGCACATGATGGACACCAGAGACTGCCAGGTTTCCTTCACCTTTGGACCATGTGATTATCACCAGGAAGTCTCTCTCCGGGTCCACCTGATGGAATACATTACAAAGCAAGGTTTCACAATCCGCAACACTCGGGTGCATCACATGAGTGAGCGAGCCAACGAGAACACGGTAGAGCACAACTGGACTTTCTGTAGACTGGCCCGGAAGACAGATGACTGACTGTCAGCCCTGGGGAGAACTTCCTGTACACTCACATTGTTTTGGGATATGGAAGAGACTATTGTTGTTTTTTAAATCATAGTGTGCCCCCCTTTTAATATTTGTATTTATTCAAAGGCATTGAGGACCAGAAGGAAGTTTTGTGTGTGAACGGCCATCTCCCTGTTTTGTTCCCAAGTATGCATGTGCTGTTCAGAGTCCAGAAACCTTTTTTATAAAGAGATCTGAAAATCATTATGATATATAATCTACCCTTAACAGTGCTAAAATGATTTCTGGTAATAAGGTCCCTAACTCAACTGGAAGGCTGAAAATATAGTAATGAAAGATTAAGCAGAATATTCGTGATGTCTTTGAAATCAGAATATCATGTAGGGTGAGCTGGATTCCAGGCCAGTAAGTAGGCAGTAGTGTTTTAAAGGAAAACTGGCTAGTCCTCTGCCAGTACTTGTTAAGGACCACTCCTACAGTTTTGACAACTGTTTCTTTCTATGCATATAAATCAAGCAACCAAATATCTGTAGCCATTGAAATGTCTGACTAGAAATATTTATATTGGATTCTCAATATAAAATGTCCCTGTGGTAGAAACTTTATGCCTGGTACAGTTTTATTCCCAAGTGTGCTGTCTACCAGGAAAGAAAAATCTAATAAAAAATGGAGTATGAACATTAAGGGTTGTATTTATTGCTGTATAATAGGAAAATTATATTCTTTGTCAAAAGTATGCATTGCCGTTGTCTCAATTAAACTGCTTACAGCACATGTGTAGTAAGTAGAGTTGACAGGACTCAATTGGATTTTAGTTCATAAAGCCAGCTGTGTCACTAGATTTAAGCAGTTTTGTCTAAAGAGTGCAAAGCCATTTTCAGGAAGGATTTACAGTGACTATTACAGGGCTTCAACTGCCACAGCTATGAATGTGACTCAGCCCAGCTTGTGCACGTGGGGACAAAAGCACTCCAGCCATTTTGTTCTCTTGCATTGCGGCAGCCACAAATGTATGGTTTTTTTTTTTTTTCTCTTCTTCTCAAACTTAAGTTCAGCTCTGAGAAGAAATAAGTTGCAGTGAAGGATTGGAAACACTTGGGAAAATGTGTGTATGTTTGCTTAGTTCACTGTCATCTTGTTTCGAGTTGATGTGATTCTGTTTCTTGAAAGTTTCTCATAAGAAGGAGTGTGTAATTATGGTGAGACTTTGTGAACATTGTATAACAAACTTCCTGGTTTTAAGGAAAGTTTTAAGGAAAGTTTGGACTTCTGTGGTTTTGGCTCTGAGGTAGACAAGATATTCTTTTCCTTTTCTCTGAGATTATTTCAAGATCCTCCCTCTGTTTCTTTGCAAATTTAAGATTTGACAAATTATGCCCCCATATACACACACACAAGAAACCCATAATCACCTCATCTTCAAACTAGGATAATTCAGTGTTATTGACAGATTGCCATCGTGGTATGTATTGATGAACTAGTGAGAAGAGGGTCCTGTCTGGAACATTTGCTCCTCTGTCAACTGATACATAGTTTCCTAAGTAAACACCCAAATCAGTCATGTGCTATGGAGCCAGCTGAAGTCAACATGAGGTAAGATGATTTGGGTTCAGAACTGTTATGGAGAGGGCTCTGGGTTAAGAGCACTTGCTACTCTTGCATAGGACTGGACTTTGGTGCCCAGCACCCACATCAACAAGTCACAACTTTTTTTTTTATGAATAAAAGCAGCCAACAGGATTTTTAAGTTTTCTTTGTTTTTTTCCCCAGTCCTAGGAGTTGACCCAGTCTTGTTCTTGTTAGTTAGTTAAAAGAGTTAACTCTTTAAAAATGATATGTTGCATTCTGAGCCTTTATATTTTATTTAGATTATAGCACTTCTAGTTGCTTTTAAAGGGCTGCATGTGTGTCTGTGTAAACTTGAGTATAAATGCTAAAGGTATTTTGTGGGCCACAGGGGTAGCTCAGTGGTAGAGTACCTGCTGACACCATTCAAACTTTTCAATCTCAGCTTTCCCTAGATAAATAAACAACACAAGTGTAACTAATGAGTTTATTGGCTTTTGCTGTATTTAAAGGGAGGTTCCAGCATTTAACCAAATGCATGCCACAAATGTACAAAGGGTAATTTCAAATATACTCAAACGTAGAATAATATGAACATTCGTTCACATACCATCTTACTAAGCGAGTTGAACTAGTCATTCCACCCTTTGCTTTAGCTTTAATTCTTTACTATATGCTATAGTACCACCATGGTGCTTCTTGATCGTAAATACTGTGGACTTTTCACAGCTTGGGTCTCCAGCTTTGTAGCAGGGGCCGGATGTATTTCTTATAGGCAGGATTCTCCTATGTTTACAAGAATCACATTATTAGAACACTTCTAGAATTAACAACTTCACTTTAAAATTTAAGTATTTCACTTTAAAAGAATAACATTACCTAAGATTCTTTTTTGTTTGATTTTGTTTTGTTTTTCAATACAGGGTTTCTCTGCTCTGACTGTCCTTGAACTCCTTTGTAGGTAGACCAAGATGGCCTTGAACTTAACAGAGATTTGCCTATCTCTGCTACCACCACATGGCAATTACCTAAGATTCTTAATTTTTCAAATTGTTTTTAAAATTCATTTTGTGTGAACATACAGTAAACACTTTTCCAAAAAGCCTCCTTTCTTAGGCAGATTCTAAACTATGCCTGCAGGTGGCTGATTAAAAGAAAAAACTATAGCTTATTCTTTGTTTTTAGAATTTAATACAAATAAAAGCCTTCACTATTTGAGGCTCTTTGAAATTGAACATGAACCACAAAGCAAGCAACCAGAAAGTAGAATCAGGCAATGTTCTGTGTCAGAATAGGCTTTCCTGTCATTGTCTAATGCAGTGTCTGCATTCTTTTCTTCAGAGCTAAACTCTAGTCTTTCATACTATTTTCTTGCTTATTTCCTTTTCTTTTACAGTAAAACTATAAAAAGTCCTGGGGGCTAGAGAGATGGCTTACTAGCACTGGCTGCTCTTCCAGAGATCCTGAGTTCAGTTCCCAGCCACCATAGGATGGCTCACTAACATCTGTGATGAGACCTGGTGCCCTCTTCTGGCATGCAGGCATACATGCAGACAGAACACTATATGCGTAGTAAATAAATCTTAAAAAACAAAGGTCTTTAACATAGGCCTACATCCTTATTCTCCGTTGTTTCTTCAATACTAGCACATCACCATTGTTCTTTAAATGAATGAACCACACGTGCTTAACACTTCTCACTATTTCTTGGGCATGTTTTCACAATATAGTTATTGAGAGAATAGGATTCTTGCTAGGGTGGGATGAGGTGATATACACATGTAATCCTGGCATTTGGGAGGTAGGATGGGCTACATAAGACCCTTGAACAGACACTAAAAAAGGGGGGTTCTTGGTATGGAATGACCCCCCAATGATTCCTTTTTGCTACCATAGGGAGTCACTTGGATGTGATTTTATGTAAACAGGCAGAATCTTCTATGGCAGTTTTCTAGATCAGTCAGAAAGCCACAGAGTACACCAGGGGAGCATGGCATCCTGTTCAGGGAGAAAGCTCATCACAATGTGCTCCAGACAGGAGAGACTTCTGTGGAGCTAAGACATGCAGCCTAGCACAAAGCACGTTACCAGTGAAATATTTTTCTCACTTGTACTTTGTGTTCATAGGGCATGTTTCAACATAGCCGCTGTTTTAACCTGTTTAAAATACCTGTAATGTGCCTTTTTCTATTACAATATCTGCTGTACTTCACAACTATGGCAGATCAAAAATAATCGACTTTGAAACTGTTGGCGCTTTCCAAAGAAGTGGAAAGTACAAGATCGTGTGGCCAAGTATCATTTTAACTAAGTGAGTCCAAGTCATCTAACCTCACATTCCTAAACTCTCATGCATGAAAGAGCCATGATGCTGCATCTGTCACTTAACAAGGTAACGTAAGGCCTACTGATGAGTATCTGGGATGCACTGGCTGCTTTTGTATCTTTGTGTAGACGGTAAGAAGCTCCATCCTTGCTCAAGTATGAGGAAGTGGAGACGAAGGGCAGGATGAAGTGTGCCAGCGTTTTTATAGAATCGTTTCTACAAACCTGCTATGGTTTTCAGATTAAAGTGTTTTAGAATGAAGGAAAACAAGATGGCCACTACACTCTGTAGTGACCAGGAGGAATCTAGGGGAGTGGAAGATACTCCTGTGCTGCCAGTGAAATAGGTCTGAGCTATGTGTCGCAGCATTTGCTGACAGGTGAACAGGGAGAGGTGTACCAAACAAAGGACATTGTTCTCTCTGGAGACACAGGAAGCAGGCTGGATTGGGAAGGACTGCTTTACTTTTACTTCAAGATTTAAACAGCAAGGACAGCGGAATGATCATTTAAAAAGTAATGTACTAGAAGTAGGTTAGTCATAGGAGCAGTGAGTGTGTAGGTAAATTGTTTCTATTTCCTAAAACAATGTCTTCTTGTGGATGGCCCATGACTGAAATTCACTGGCCTGTCTGGCACCTGCTCTGGAGATTTTATGACTTTGGATAATAATGTTAAGCTAAGCTCTGATGTGTGACAGAATACAAACTGTCAAGAGCAAGTCTAATAACGCCTAAGTGTGAGTGAAAGCCTGAGTGTTTGTCACTGCATTGTTAAGATACCTTTCCAAAGGTGGACTAAAGAGAAGGTTCACCATCTGAAAAGCATTTGTTTATAAAGTTTTACTATACCCAACACTGTGAAACAACTCGTGTGTGTGCCTAAGATAGATGGGTCCCTTGTTGGGATCATCTGTGTCAAATCTGCTCTTCAACATGGACTCCCTAAATTAGAAATACAGTATGGGTTAATGTTTTTAACTTTGCCTAGTGAGACTGACAGTACCTCAAATTTCCTATCACCTCTGACTATGCACTTTTATCTGCATAAAATAGAGCTAAAAGACTCAAAATAAGATGGTTTGCCACTGCTATGATTTATCTTAATTTTATTAATGTAAAAGTCAGCTTGCTGCTATCTGTGTGTGCCTTTGAGTATGTCAAGCCATGATATAAAAATGAGCATTTCTCTTAATGCCCCTTTCACATTCTGAGCTGTGAATTTTGCTGAATTCAGTTCCTGCCAAGCTGCACCCCTGGTTTGTTTTATGTACTCTCTGAAAGTATTTTAAACGGATGCTCTATGCCAAGTAATTTTCAGCCTAAGCAGAATCGATTAAAATGGGAAAACATGGAGATGTATTTACTGCTTGTTCTCTGCTCTTTTACATGATTTATAACGGAGTTGCACTCAACTACCTGAGTATTGGCTGGTGAAGACTTAGCCCACTCAAACAGACGTTCGTAGACATGTCCATCATAACAGCCAAGCGCTGAATTTAAACAATGATCCGTGAAGTCAAAAGCATCAGTTAACAAGATCGCATCCTTCCTAAGAGAGGAAACAGATTGTGAGCATTTCACCTTTCTCTTAGGAATCTAATTGATCCACAGGAAGTAATTAGAAGTTGCATCATTATCTGCTGTTTGAATAATTCTCTTTATTATTTGGGTTTTATTTCTTTAAACCATTTTTTTAAACTTTATTTGTACTTTATGTTCATTGGTGTTTTGCTCGAATGTATATCTGTGTGAGGGTGTCAGATCTCCTGGAACAGGAGTCAAAGACAGCTGTGAGTTGCTTTGTGGGTGCTAGGAATTCAATCTGGGTCCTCTTGAAGGGCAGTCAGTGCTTTTAACTGAGCAATCTCTCTAGCCCCCTGGATTTTACTTTTTTTTTTTTTTTTGAGAAAATTTGCTGGAAATCCCTCAGTAGACTAGGCTGGCCTCGAAATCAGAGATCTGCATGCCTGTCTCTAACTCCTAACTTGTCTCTGATACCTGAGGGCTGGGATTAAAGGGGGTTTTACTTTTTATCAGTTATATATGCACAGAGTAAGGAATCATAGAGTTCTTTAAAGCTTGTTATTAAAAAACAAACAAACAAACAAACAAACAGACAAACAGGGCTTAAAGTCCAGGATCCAGTTCCCCCTAAAAATGAAAAAAAAAAAAAAAAAAAAATCAGCCTATCTCCCAGTGTGCTGGTTAGTTTTTATCAACTTGACACCAGCTAGAGTCACTTGGGAAGAGGGAGTCCCTAATGAGGAATTGCCTCCATCAGATTGGCTGGTAGACATATCATTGGAGCATTTTCTTGATTAATGATTGGTGTGGGTGAGCCCAGCCCACTGTGGATGGCGCTGTCTCTTGGGTTGTATCAAAAAGGCAACTAAGCAATCCGTGGGGAACAAGTCAGTAAGCAGCATTTTTCCATGGCCTCATCTTCAGTTCTTGCCTCCAGATTCTGCCTTGAGTTCCTGCCTTGCTTCCTTCATTGATTGACTGTAACCTGAGAACCAAATAAACCCTTTCTCCCCCAAGTTGGTTGTGGTTAGTGTTTTATTACAAAAGAAAGCAACTAGTACACCTAGTTCTCCTTAGAGACATTGTTAGTCTTTTAGCTAATATTTACACAAATATCTCCTAATATTTTTGTGTAATGCAACATTTTTTTTTTTTTTTTTCCAAGACAGGATTTCTCTGTCTATTTGGAGCCTGTCCTGGAATTCGCTTTGTAGACCAGGCTCGCCCTGAACTCACAGAGATCTGCCTGCCTCTGTCTCCCGAGTGCTGGGATCAAAGGCATGTGCCACCATTGCCCGGGCATGTTTGTTTGCTTGTTTTTTTGGCTTGCTAGCAACTTCTTGACGCTTCAGTTTTAGATATTATTCAATGACAGTTATAAAAGCAAGGGTTTCCTTTCTGGGGAGTAAAAGGGGACAAATCTTACCGTGCAGTGCAGGCTGGCATGCAATACTGCCCTCAATGCCCCACCATCAGACTCAGGATTGCTGGGATTACATGCATGTTCCACACACTTGGCTGGATTGAGCAGTTTTCTCTTTACTCCTATTGCTGCCAAACATTGTTGCTATTTGACGAGATTAATTAATGTTCAATGTTGACATTATGATGACTGTGTGGCATCAAAACCTTTGAGATGGCTGGATAATAAACCCAATTATATTTGTGTGACCTAAAATTTTGTTTTGAGATAAGGTCTTGCTTAAGGTTTGGCTGATCTGAACTTCTATGGAGATCAACTTGGCCTTGGTTATTTTGTTCTTGTTTGTTTTGAGACAGGATCTCACTGTACTTCTGGCTGGTCTAGAACTGCAGTGCATATGGAGATAGAGGTAACTCCTCAGGCATTGCACAGGTGTGGTGCACTTACATGTATGGAGGCATGCTTATAAAATGTAAAAACATTGAAACAAATAAGCACTTGGCTCCCCTCTTTTCTTTCCCTCATCCATCCTAGATCTTGGCTCCTCTTTTGACTGAATTTGGGAGTGTTTTGTTTGCTTAGCTCCAGTTCTCTTGCTCTTTCTGGAGAAGACTGGATTCGGTAGCAATTCACTGAAATAACTCTTGTCTAGGTCTCCGAACTGCATTTGGAGGGTCCTGATACTTCTTATTCACTCACTCCTCGATGATATCATCTCTCTCATGGCTTTAAATATCAGCCACATGTCATTGACTTCCAAATTTATCCCTCCTGTGTCACCTGCTTACTGGTTCTGTACTAGATTTCTAGCAGGCTTTTAAAATGCACTGAATCTCCAAACTCCTGATCTTTTCTGTCTTATCTACCCTGGCCCTCCTGTGGCTTTCTCCTTTATGATAAATGGTCTGACTTCCTCTTTCTATCTTGTGTCATCTCTAATTGTCAACAAACACTGTTCTATTTTTCAAAGCATGTCCAAATTTTGCCTACTTCCCACTACATCATTGTTCTACTCTGGTCCAATCTATGATCATCTCTCATCTGGAATACTGCATTAGCTTTCAGACCCATCTCCTTGCTACTATTTATTACTTTATTTATAATGATTAACTTGGGGGCTGTGGGCTGAACCAATGGCATTATGCACACTTAGCAGCTGCAGCTTTATTTTATATTATTCAAATATATATATTTGAGTCTGGGAGGTAGCTCAGCTGATAAACTGCAAGGACCTAAGTGTGAGCCCCAGGATTTGGGGAGGGGGTGGGGGGCTGGGATGGGGAGGGGTGGGGGGCTTAGTGTCCTGTTGGGCATTTTTTTCTTTTTTCTTTTGTTTTGTTTCTGAGACAAGGTTTCTCTGTGTAGTCCTGGCTTTCCTGGAACTCATTCTATAGACAGGGCTGGCCTAGAAATCACAGAGATCCACCTGCTTTTTTTGAGTGCTGGGATTAAAGGTGTGTGTCACCATTTAGCATGAGGTGTTTGTAATCCTAGACTGGGCAGATGGGGACAGGCAGATCACTGCTGGTCTCACTGGCCAGTCTATCTGGCCTGCTTGTGAGTTCCAGGCCAGTGAGAGATAATGTCTCAAAAAACAAACAAACAAAAAAATCATTGGTGCTTGAGAAAGGACACCTGAGGTTGTGCTCTGGTCTTTACATGCGCACACAAAACAACAAACACCCAAAACAAAACAAAAACATGTACTTAACCCCCCATCCCCCAGGCCTGAATATACACAGGATTAGGTTGTTTTGGGTTATAGTAACTGTGCTGTGCTCAAAAGCTTCCCGTTCTCACACAGTAAAAGCCCAAATCTTTAGTCTTTTCGATTACATACCCATCCCTCCTGTCTCACTGGGCACCCGTACTCTCTCTAACCTTGGTCTTTTCCTCCTCCTCAACCACATTTCTGGCCTCTGAGTAGATAAGCCAAGCATTCTGGTTTCCTACCTCTGTGTCTTTTTATATGTGCTCAGCTTGTCCGGTCCTTTCCTCCTGGCAGCCCCTAAGGCCTTTTCCTGCACTCGCAGGCCTTTCTTGCCCTCCTAGATAGGCCTTCTTTGGTCTGTTTAAATGCTTGGAGGTCTGGAGCTATAGCTCACAGGTACGGTACTTGCCTAGCATGTTCAAGGCCATGGTTTTGATTCCCAGCACCGCACAAAAACTAAAACAAGAACATTTGAAATTCAGTGTCTCTGGAGGCAAGGCAAGCACTTAGAAAAGCAGAATGCAGATTAAAACACATGCATACACACACATGTACACACGCACACATGCACACACCATGCTTATGGGTGTTATGGTTCTCTTCTGTGTCTGATCATCACCAGCCGGGTCCAGGTGATTTTTTTTTTTAACCATGTGTTTTAAAAATCCTAATCATTTCAGATGATTAGTACTACACAGTTCAGCTTGTGCTTGAACTGTGTAGTACTAATTACACCCATAGAAGTCCCATACTGGATGGCCCTGCATTAAGGTAAGTTTAAAGCTTTGTATAATTTTATTAGATATGCTTTTGGCCATTTTTATTTGTATTATTACTTATTTACTTTGGTGGGGATGCCATGATATGTGTTTGGAGATCAGAGTATGCTTTTGTGGAAGCTGGTACTAGCCTTCTACCGCGTGGGATCAAACTCAGATTGTCAGGCTTGGTGGGGAGCTCTTTGACCCCCAAGGCACCTCTCTGGTTCCATATTTAATGGTTTAATTAAACAAACATTTACTAGCAACTAGCTATCTGTCAGGTACTGGTATTTAGCCACAGGGGCTTGTTAATACTGAATTTTAGAAACGAAAAGCATTTGGTTGATTTTTTTTTAACCTCTTATGCAAACCTATATGCATTTAAAATCTTTTTGCTGCTAATGAGAACTATTGGAGGTCCCAGGGGAAAAGTCACTTCCCTCCACACATAATAGACATCATTTTTTTGCCCAGCAAGATTTCAAAATGTTGTGTTCTCAAGTTAACCCTTTTTTGTTTTATTTCATATTAGTAAATAATTCATAGTGTTTTAATACGTGTTTCTTCTAATTATCTGGTCATGACAGACTTTGGTTTTGATGTGTTATTTTTTAATATTAATTTTTTATTATGTATTCTGCCTGCATATATGTCTGCACACCAGATCTCATTATAGATGGTTGTGAACTACCATGTAGTTGCTACGAATTGAACTTGGGACTTCTGGAAGAGCAGCCAGCTTTCTTAACTTCTGAGCCATCTCTCCAGCCCATTGATGTGTTCTTAAAGCAATATTTACTTTATGTATAAAATAACAGGATGAATGTTCACTAGTAGTCATGACTCTAAATTGTATAAAATCAACTCTACATTTTAAAAGTATCAGTATTATTGCTTTACAAATCAGTACATGAAAGGATGTAAGGGAATAATAATATCTATATTGCTGTAGACCAGGCTGACCTCGAACTCACAGAGATCTGCATGCCTCTGCCTCCTGAGTGCTGAGTTTAAAGGTGAGTGCCACCATTGCCAAGCATAAAATTCATTTATTAAACTTGGTAAGAATTTGCTTAAGGCACAGTCAACCAAGACCTGGATATGCATAGCATGTACATAATAATAAACTCCCAGGCACCTTACCACACAGGTGAAGAGTGCATGCTCAGTGATCAGAAGCTCTGAATGTTCCCAAGTCCTTCTCTACCTAATCTAATCATGCCAAGGTACAGAAGTTCATTCTCATGAACCTAAGCTTTTTCAGTAGAACAGGAAGATGAAATCCAGTTCAAAGGCTGTATGGATTAAACGACATGATGCATATAAACGCTTATAGCACAAAAATACTCATTAAATACTGGTTACGATTAGTTATTATTAGCGAGCCTTGATTTTACATTCTTTAGATACTGCTCCTTGGCAGTGTGGAAGAGCTCAACTGAGGCGGTAATTTACTCTTTACTTTCTAACTTCCTCCTAATTCCTCTGATGCTTCTTTTGTCAAGCCCTAATGCTTTCTGTTGTTGTAATTGTGCTGGGTATTAGCCTGTTCAGACCCCAAGTTTGCACGGTCCTAGAAAGAAGCAGCATGTGCACTAGGGTCTAACATGGTTTCAAGTCCCAGTCACTCACCGGATCAAGGGAAGCAGGTTGAGAAAGGCTGTTCTGGCCATGTCCACTTGGGCCCCAGACAGGAAGCCATCATGAAGGAAGTCACCTGAGTTAGTCAGAATACCATGTAAGGCATAGAGGTCACAGAGGCGTTGGAGCACCTGCTGAATTGCTGGTTCCTTGTCTAGTTTCTCCACAGCTTCCTTAAAACTCTTCACAGTGATGTAGTAGCAGTGAGCCTACGAAGACACAAAGATGCTCAGGCCACCAACTCTCATCCCAGCTCCACAGGTCATTCTGGAAGCTGGGCAAGGTGGACAGAGAGTTAAGTGTAGTTATTTTTTTGTTTGACTGAACCTTTTTGGTGGTGTGAATATGTATACGTGTGTGTGTGTGTGTGTGTGTGTGTGTGTGTGTTGGGGGCTGGGTGGACTGTGAAACAGGGCCTTTACATTCCTTATTTGCTTGAGACAGCTTCAAGAGCATTAGAAAGTTGGAAGAAATGCCTGAGGCAGATGGGAGAGCTGGCCCTGTGGTCACAGAGTGAGAGTGGTCCCTGACCCCCACCAGCTGCAATGCTCAGGAGAGCAGGCCTTGCACCCTGCCAGGGCAGCACAACAGAGTCAGTGTTGTTAGTGCAGGTGTAGGTGAGCCAGTCCCGACATTGTGAGCATGGGAGAGCTGTCCCCATTTCCCGTATGGGGGACCAACCTCACAGCTGTCCAGGCCCAGATCCAGGGTTATGACTTGGCCTTCCCCGACATCCACCCCATCTATGGTCTCTTGGAGCACATGGAGGAACCTGACCCACAGACCCAAAGCTGCAGGATCTCCACATCACAGGGCAGCAGCGGGCTGTCCATGGAGAGTCCTGGTGGGGGCCCAGCATACATGTAGTGCAGACCAGGGGCCTCGAATCAGACCAATGACTGCAATGAACATTTCCAAGGAGAGATGTGTGGAAGAGCCAGCCATCTTACCGTGTTCCAGAAGGCCTCAGGCCTCACACCCCACTTCCCTCCTGATCTCCCTGCTCTCCCTGCCTCACCGTAGTTCAGTTCTCCTGCTTTGGCCTTCCAGACCCTTGGCCTTTTCTTCCTGTTTTGATACCTGTGCTCTTTTTGCTGGGAAACCTCTTCCAAGCTGTCACCACTCTAGGACAGTCAATTGCTGCTTGAAATCTTAGCCCATGTACCCCATTCTTCTGGAAAGTCCTTTGGAATCTGCAGGGAGTGTAATCAGCAGCCACTTCCCATTTCCCATCCTAGTGTTCTCCTGATTATAGCTGTCTGTAGGCAGTGTCTTTGCTGTTTAGTATCCAGTGCTGGTGCAGAAGGGATGCTCAAATATTTGCTGACTGATGGTGAAATACACACAAATACAAAAGATGATGTAAATTGGATTAGACATCCTGGGATTGCCTGTGGGGCTAAGGGGAGACTTGACCCGTGTTTCTTTCTGGGAGGAGCTGTTTAATAGACCTGAAGTAGATTCAGTAGCAATGCCTCTATATTTTCCTAAAGGTGGCCAGCAAGATGCTTTGGAGTTAAGCTCTTTAATTAAAATTCTCCAGACTACATGCTTGGATGTGAGATGAGGGCAGTCCCTGTGGAGCAGGGGTGGGGAATGTGAACTTAGGTTTTCTTATCATGGTGGCCTCCCGGGGAAACAGAACAAGCACCTCACAGCTTCAGCTGAAAGACATCTCACCTTAGCAGCCTGAAGGTGTATGACAGTGGTCTGGTTCCAGGCATCATGCTTGTCAACCCCGGATCTCATGAGGGTCTGTGTATGATGTACCGCATCCTTTATGAGCCTGGAAACCAAGGAAAAGAGGCTCAGGGTCCTGAATGTGCAGGAAAGAGAACTGGCGGGCTGCTGGGGTCTCTCAAAAACACTGTCTCACCGACCTCTTAGACGACATAAAGCTAAAGGCTTCATGGGTATCTCTTTAAGGGCAGGCATTCCTAATTTACAGTGGGAAAAGAGTCCCAGAGAGGTTAATGAACTTGATTAGTGTCACACTGCTAATCAGAAACAGGGGTAAGATTTTCTTTTCTCTGTTGAGTCAATATTACTGTTTAGCCCAGAGTGAACTAGAACTTTTAAATCTTCCTGCTTTAGCCTCCTGGGATTTTTTTTTTTTTTTTTTTTTAAGACTTAGGATCTCAGGTAAGTTCAGGTCATTCTGTTGATTGACTTCTTATGGCCAAAGAACGTTTATTCTTCTCAGGCTAATCCTGCTGTAAGTCCCACCTGGATGCAAAAGCAGAGAACCACCTCCCATCCTCCAGGCCACTTAATCATTTGCCATTGTATCAACCTTTAGTCTGTTCTCTATTGCCTGTGTGTTTTTCTGGTCCTTGGAATTTAGGTGGAAAACAAACTGTTTATTAAGCAACATTTAATTTGCTTTGCCAGGGAACTGAGAAGCAGATGGTACGTTGAGTTCCAAGCAAGGAGATGCAGAATGGTATTTTAATGCCCCAGTAATCTGTCTTTCCCTTCCCTATCCTTCCAAGCTACCTTAGCCCTGTGTGTCTTGTGTGTTTATTAGGCTAGTTTACTGGTAGCTAAGTCTCTTCAGTGATGGTATTTGTATTTTGGTGGTTAGGATGTTATCTCTTTTCCCAGATTCTGGAACACTAAGTTGTTTCTGACACATACTTTGGTGATATTGTTAAATGACAGAATGTGCAAATTCTTGGGTTTTTGTTTGTTTTCTAATAGAATTCATGTTATAGGTTGGAGAGATGGCTCAGCAATTAAGAGCACTGGCCGTTCTTTCCAAGGCCCCAGGTTCAAGCCCCAGCTTCTGCAGGGCAGCTTACATTATCTGTAACTCGTTCCAGGAGATCAGTGCCCATTTCTGCCATCCATGGGCACTACATGCCCATGGTGCACAGCCATGCATGCAGATAAACACTCATACACATACAATTAAAGTAAATAATAAAAATACATGTTTTAAGCCTAGCATGGTAATACATACCTTTAATCCCAGCACTAATGAGGCAAGAGGTAGAGGCAGATGGATCTCTATGAATTTGAAGGCAGCCCAATCTACCTAATGAGTTCCAAGCCAGCCATGACTACATAGTGAGTCCTTATTTAAGAAAAGTAAAGTAAATTAATACATGTTCTTTTGTTTGTTTGTTTGTTTGTTTTTTCGAGACAGGGTTTCTCTGTGTAACAGTCCTAGCCATCCCTGGAACTAGCTCTGTAGATCAGGCTGACCTTGAACTCACAGAGCTCCTCCTGTGTCTACCTCCTGAGTGCTGGGATTAAAGGCTCGCCCCACCACCACCTGGCAATACATGTTCTTTTTAAAAAGACACACATCCTCATGTATTTGTGCTTATGTGGGTTTATGTGTACCATGTATATGCAGGTGCCCATGGAACTCAGGAAAGGTGTCAGGTTCCCTGGGACTGGAGTTACATTGTAGGGAGTTGTAAACTACCCCGTGTGTGTACTGGAAATCAACCTCAGTCCTCTGTAGGAACGGTAAGTTCTCTTAATTGTTGAACCATCTCTCTAGCCCTGAGTCCTTGGTTTTGATCATGTGCCTTGGACTCTACTAGACCCTGACTATAAACCAGTTCTATTCTGAGGTGTAACTACACCTTTGGAAATTACTTTTATTATTTATGTATTTATTTATGTATTTATTTAATGTGTATGTTATGTACATGTGGTGTATATGTGCATGTGTGAGAGGGTACATGCACTTACATAAAGTCCAGGAGAGTATCACAGATCCTCCTCTATTAGTCTCTGCCCTATTCTCCTGGAGCTAGGCTGTCAGCCAGCAAGCCCCAGCAGTCACCCTGTCTCTGCCCCATACAGCACTGGCCTTACTAGTCCTTATAACTGTCCCTGCTTGTTTTACATGGGTGCTGTGGCTTGACTCTTTTAGAAATTGTGGGATAGTTTGGACTTAAAACATTACTTGTTGGCATTGATTTGCTTATCAGTTCATTTATGTTGATTTATCTATGAGTGCATTTGTTATATTGGAAATCACCATAGGAACCTGAAGGTTTTTCAAAAACTCTCACTAGCCAGAGTGAGGATACATTTCTACCACTGTGACCAGGATAAAGCAATAACGATGGTAGATTGCTGAGGGGTGAGATGTCCCTTTTTCTACACCCACAGCCACAGGAGCCGAGGTTTGGAGAGGCTGGAGGTGGCAGGAGTTTGTAAAACACTGTCCACTAGTGTCCAGATGTCTGGGATGCGGATTTCTTAGCACTGACTTACCTGGCAGGCACATGTGCCCAGGCTGTGGTATAGAGATCTGGGCAGAGGAAGTCGGCTGCTGTCTGAGCTGTGCACCTGACTGGCCCTGGTGTGGCAAGATACATGACAGACATAGGGAGAGGCTTCTGTGGTGTGGAGCCTGGGGGCACCTGAGCCTGCAGGTAGTTCTTCATCAGAAACCTGGGGGTGAGGGGAGAGGCAGATGAGACAGTGTGAGGCTCTGTGGAATCCCCAGCCCAGCTTGCTTACTTCCAGGGACATCCACATTCATGCTGTGCTCAGGTGAGGAGAGCCAGGGGCGCCAGGCCTCTGCCCTGCTTCTTCCCACAGGCATCACTCCAACCTCCTCACCCCTGTTTTCTGTAGGGCCCTCAGTGAGATGTACCCAAAGTACTAGTTCCTTTAGCAGGTGGCAGGGGGATGCAAAGCTGGGCTAGACTCCTTTAGATCCTGAACACAAACAAGCCTTTTGAGGTTTGTGCCAACAGAAGCTCCAGCATCGGGATTTCTGATTGGGGATTTGGGGTAAGTACAGTGTCTGTGACTTTTAAACCAGTCAGATACACACAGGAGTGCTGACATGAGGGAGAACGAGAGTGATTCCAGGCTGCTTCTGTGTGGGACAACCCAGCGTTGTGCTCAAACAATCCTGGACTCTGTTAGCTCCCCTGAGACCACTGTGATGCTATAGAAGTGTCTGTGCTTCCCTATGCCTCAGTTTCTTCATGATTATGGGAATGATGTCTGGCAGGGAGGGTGTATAGAGTTGAAAGAGATGCTTGTAAATTTCTTGTCAAGTTCAGGGTATAAGCTACCTAATGCATGCTATTTTTATTGTTTTTATAACTTGAAAAAGAAAAACCCAGGCAGCTGGCAAGAGCCTATTTGGAAGAGGCTGGTGAGGCCTACCCACCTCGCAAGGGGTGCCTGTTTTGTGTTTGCTGTCTTCTGAGCCTGGTACTTCAGTGAGCAAGGCAGGTAATTGCCTGCTCTCAAGGAAATCCTGGTTTAGCTAGGAAGCAGAGCTAAAAAGCTAAGCAAAAAGTTGTAGACAATTGTGGTTTGTGATAACTTCCAAAAGAAATGTGGTTTTGGGTGTCAGGGGGCCAAGGACACTGTGGAAAGAAGACTATGGCCAGCACAGGCAGGAGGACCTGAGAACAGGTTGGGGCAGGCAGCATCTGGGTCATAATGACTGAAAGAACAGAGTACACTATGGCATTTGCCTTCAAGTAGAGGGAAGCTAATGAACCATTTTGAACAAGACAACATGTGATTTTTCTCTAGGCTTTGAAAAGAGCCCACTGGTTGCCTGTGGAGAAGTAGGGACAGGAGACAAGCAAGACCCCAGAGCAGGAGCCTGATGCTGTTTGGGTAAGGCAGAGGGATGGCCTGGTTTCAAGTAGCAGGAAGCCTTGGGGAAATGGGCAGATTAGGGTCATGCTGGGATTTAGGCAGCCCTCCAATGGTGCTTTTCCAAAGCTTCCTTCCTCTCTGGTATCAGACAGGAGCCTTCACTAAGCACAGGCTTAGGGGAGCCCCAGGGTGGGCTAGAGGTCTGGACAACTCTGGACTTTACCTGGCCACTTGCAGGTAGAGCACTGTGTTCTCACCCTCATAGGTACAAGAGGCTGTCACTTGAGTGACCAATGTCGGCAGCCCGCTCAGTTTTGAGTAGCCGTGACCACCACAGGCCCTTCGACATATCTCTGCCCCCTGGGCACAGAAGTCTGAAATCATGGCCTTCATACCAGAGCTCAGTGCGTGGAGCTGCAAGAACAAAGTAGTGTAAGGGTCCCGTGGTACCATCTAGACTGCCACTTAGCACTTGTGCATGCTTGCCACAGCTGCGAGGGTGGTGCTGTGTTTAGCTCACTGCTTCTTGGGATGTCAGACAAAGCTAGAACTCAGAGGAAAGTCACACAGTTAGCTAGTGTGGCTGTGGGTCTGTAAGAATGAAGGAAAATCTGTCCTAGCTGGTGTCTCCAGGATCTTCAGAAGAGGAGCCTTCTTGGATTGGATTCACCATCCTACAAGAGTCACGGGAACTTGCCAGCAGGCAGACGTTTGGAAAGGCAGCCAAAGAAGACATGTGTCTACCATCAGCCCACTTCCCAGGTTGCAGGAGAGTGCCATGGTCAAACTGTCTATCCAAACACATAAGTTGAACTCTGAATCCCAGAGGAATGGTGTCAGGAACTGGACCTTTGGCAAGGATGAGGCCATAAGGTGAAACCTTCATGAGGAATGTTAGTGGCTGCAACTAAAACTTTCATTCTCTCTCTCTCTTTCTCTCTCTGTGTGTGCCTGTGTGTGTGTGTGTGTGTGTGTGAGAGAGAGAGAGAGAGAGAGGGAGGGAGGGAGGGAGGGAGGGAGGGGGAGAGAGAAGTAGAGAGAGAGACCACAGTGCACGTGTGGGTCAGATGATAACTAGCAGTAGTAAGAGTCAGTTTTTCTCTCTCTAGCATGTGGATTCTAAGGATTGAAATCAGGTCATCAGGCTTAGTAGCAAGCACCTTTATCCACTGAGCCATGTTGCTGGCCCTACAGTTGCCATTTTTACTGTCTTAGGGGTGATTGGGCCATGAGGGTTTCTGTGTCATAGATGAGTTCATGCTGTACGGGACTGAGTTCCATATTGTTGAAGTTGCTTTGTTATAACCCTGAGTCCGCTTTCTCAGCGCCCTCCTGCTCTTTCTCTTCTCATATGAAATCCTCTGCCATGTTATCACACAGCAGGAAGGCCCTCGCCAAATAGTAGCACCAGGAGAGAGGCTGGACATCTCCAGAAGAGTGAGGATTCAATTACTGTTGTGTCCAAGCCACTGAGTTTGTAGACATTCGTTAGACTGACAAGAAGTGTCTGGGCAGCCGCTTAGTTTAAAGTTTTGGTTCTTGAAAGTCCCTATCTATCTTTCAGACTTGCACATCCGTGGGAGGAAGACCTCCTTTTTTCTTTCTATTTCAATTTCCTTACGTACAAAATAAGAAATGTAATGGTGTAAATGGTGGACACTATGGGAAGTGTTAATGAGGCAATGCCTTAAAAGCACCATGCCTGCACAGATTGAAGGTGTGTGAGTCACTGCCTCATTCTAGACTCTGGCAGTATTGAATCAATGCATATCTTGGACCATGGTGTTCTCTGGGCCTGATATGTTTTTGGATTTTTGAAAGGCAAAGCAGATTCTGTGAGGTGTGTTATCCTCATGGTTGAACATACTGATGGTTCTGTTATTTTGTGCCAGTAGAATAAGGCAGGTTAGTTCAGGTCAAACTGTGCCATAAGATAACTTTGGGGTTGTTTTGGTTTCTGTCATACACTGGGGATTGTGGCTCTGTGTCCTCTACACTTTCATTACTGCTAACATTCTTGGAGCTCTCTAGGGGCCAGGTGAGTGTCTGTGAACCTACGTATTATGATACATTCACCCTGATGCCCTGGGACGTGGTGAGATTGAGGGCCCATGGAACCAGGCTGTAGCCTGGAACAGCAGTAGCCACCCTCCAGCAGCAGCTCTCAGCAAACAGAATACCTCAGGCAGGAGGCTGAAGTCTTTGTTCAGAATGGCATTGTAGGAGCTATGGAAGAATTCTAAGAGGCTGGTGGCCAGGAAATGAAAGGCATAACTCATGGCAAGCTGAGGAAGGAGTTTCTGCTGCTGGGTCTGGTAGTCCAGGATTTTCGCCTCTGGGTCACTGAAGGGAAAAGAAGCAAAAAGTTTAGAATTCCACTCCAAGTCATCTTCCCATATCTCTAACACCGTGAAAGTCTTAACTAACAATGGACCGTTGAAAAGCCAGCACAAGGCTGCTATGTTTTAAATCTCACATATCAACAGACAGTCTGGTGGTGGAGCAGAGAGAGCCATAGACCTCATCTGAACTGCATACATGTGTGTGATCTGCTCTGGCACAGACGGTGTCAGTACACACATTGTGGGACTGAGTGTCAACAAGCATCTCTGTTAGGGTCACCCTTTGGGTACTCCTTGCCTTGGCCGAAGATAGGACTGGTGGCGTATGACTGAGTATCGCACAGCAATGACACAAGACTTCTGGAGGTAGGGTAGGAATCCTCTAAACAGAAGCCATACCCGTGTCACCAACATGGCTAGATAATTACTCTGTGCTGTCCCGAGCCTCCGGTAGGTTCCATCAGGCAAGACCTGTGTGCAACAGAGGCAGAGGCTGGGTTGAAGTCAAGGCTGCCTAGTTTGTACCTCCATGAGCCTCCATCCCTGCAGGCACCCCACTTTTGCTCACTTGAAGCAGACCCCTCATGTAGCATGGTCATTGGCACATGAAAATGCTCGCATGATACACCCCAGAAGCTCCCCAACTTTTACACCTAAAAAGGTCAAGACTGGATAACTGTGGACTTTTGCCCGCATCTAGGTCATATCTGTTCTGTTACTGATTGTAAGAAATCCATATGTTCACCCTCAGCTCTTCCCCTTTCTGGGGATTACCTTGCCACTGTACCTCATGACTGTTCTGAAAACCATGTGTTAAGTATTTACACATAGGGAGTCTGGGGCTTCAAGTGACAAGATTTTCCCAACACCATTGTGCTCCTAGGTTGGGTTTTATCCTTATCTGTGGGACCCCTTCAGTCTCTTTCAGGAAGAAGGGGGCTTGTGGTCCAAAGTCATCTTTGCTGAGACAAACCAGAGCCTGTGGCAGCTATATAAAGGGCAAGCCCCCTCCCTAGGCAGTCTGGGCCCATAGCATTCCCAGCACCTGACCTCTGCAAAGCGACTCAGCATGTTCTCTCTGGGAACCCTCACATGGTTCAACTGCAGGAAACCATTGTCTATGTGTTCCAAGCCCATCTTGGGCCCTATGTCCCCAACTGTGATTCCTAGAAGAGGGTAGAGATGAGAATGCCTGTCAATTGGGTGCATGCAGTATGCCAGGCACACATACACAGACATAGGCATTCACACACAGGGACACACACATTCATATACACAGAGCATACATAGGCACACACAGGTGTACACACACAGATACACAGAGGCACACACAGAGCATACACAGGTACACGGGCACACACACTCATACAGATGCTCAAACACACACACACACACACCACACAAAGCACACAGGCACACACACACCATGGTTCCCAGGCTGCAGGTAAGCTAGCTGAAATCAGACAAATGTTGAACCAGTCAAACAGCCAGCTCATACTATCTCTGTGAACTGGATTCCTTCTAGAGACATATCCCAGCTTCCTCTGCATATCTCCTGGGGATTCAGGACTGGGCAAGTTGATTGGATCATCTTATGGGAGGGGTCCTTGAGGAAGCAGCAGAGCTTACCTGGCAGTGGGGTGTGGTCCTGTAGGCTCCGGATGGGCACAATGAAGGCATGCATGCCATGTTGGGCTCCTGAGCAGATCAGCTGAGCAAGGACTATAGTGTGGGTGACTGACCGTCCCACTAGGGAGAGAGATGAAAGGCCCATTACAGCAAGCCTCCAGAGCTTGGGGTTACTGCTAGACAGACACCTTTGGATTCTTGGAAAGCCACTGATGACAGAAGGAAATGACACAAGAAAACTAGCTAGAGTAAAACAGTGACTTGGCAAGGGAATTTGAAGTAAGAAAAGTTTTAAATACTTGTTGTACCCTACCACAACAGCTAATGAATCACTCTGCTGTCAGCCAGCCCCATAATAAGCACAACCATACCTTATCAAAACCCAGTGAGAGCCCAGCTCTTAGCTGAGGTTTCCTAGTTATTTTATTTTATTTTTTTTTTGAGACAGGGTTTCTCTGTGAAGCTTTGGAGCCTGTCCTGGAACTTGCTTTGTAGACCAGGCTGGCCTGGAACTCTGAGAGATCTGCCTGCCTCTGCCTCCTGAGAGCTGGGATTAAAGGTGTGAGCCACCACTGCCCGGCCACATCAACCTGATCTTAAAGATGGGTTTCTTTTCCCTGCAAATTTGATGCAGACCACTCAATTGTCTTTGTCCCTTAACCCTCTCCTCTTTCCTGCCTGGCTTCCCCCATTGTGTCACCCTGCCCTGCTTTGGTTGAATTCAGATCATTTACTCATTCAGAGTCCACACCAGGCATTTTCTCTCCAGGTCTCCAGGTGCTAGTGAAGCTCTTCAAAATCCTTTCTCAAAGGGGACTTTGGTAGGACCCTGTCCTGGAGCCCAGAGACATCACTGTGTCTGCCACCTGGTACCCATGTGATTGGAGCTTGTCTGAGTATGGAGTGGCAGGGGCAGGGAGGATGTTCAGTTGCTAACTAGTCCCAGGGCATGTGCTTTGGTAGGTGACAAGCTTATTGTTAACTTGGGAGGCTAGAATATATGATATTGTGGGTAGCTCTTGGGACAAGGCTAGGTATGTGTGTATATGAGTATCAGTATATTGTGTATATGCACAAGTGTGCCTGGGGGGGGGGGGACAACATATGTGCTCTATACATGCGTGTCTGTGATGGGGCAGTGTGTATATTTCTGTGTACATGTTTCTGATAATGGCAGTGTCTGTATGTTGTGTACATGTACAGGTGTGCCTGTATGGAAGCAGCATATGCTGTGTGCCTACATATGGGTATCAGTGTGTGTTATGTACATACACATTTGGGGGTTTGTGTGTGTGTATGCACACACAACATACACTTTATGACAACAGTATATGTTGTGTTCATGCATTTCTATGGGACAGTATTGTATGTTTACATCTACATGCTATGTCTGTAGGGGCAAAGTTTGTGTTGTGAGGCAGTGTGTGTTGTACATGTATGTGTTGTAGGGGGCAATATTATGTTGTATGGTTACATATCAGTCTGTAGGGTAGTGTGTGTGTTGTGTGCATCACACATATGTTGTGTGGGGGTAGTGGCGTGTTCTTGGCCTTCAACACCCACAGATTGGGTGCATTTCCTTACGACTCAGAGCTCCCTTGGGACTTTCCAGTCACTTACTAAGGAAATTAACATCCTACCTATTTCAATAGACTTCAAGGTGATCAGCCTAGAATAGGAAATCAACCTGAAGTCTGTTGGGCATCAAAGTCAGTGCTACTCAGTCCCAGCTTTGTCTTCATTGTGGAAAGCAGGAAGGAGTATACTCACAGTCCCCAGGCCACCACTTGGTGGCAGTCAATGTAGGGCTGTGTATCACAAACTCCTGGGTGGCTGCATCATAGGTGGCTTCGGTTTCCAGGCCCCTCAGGTTTGTCCCTTGGGATCAAGGAGGAGAGTTAGACTGTTGGGCTAAGGTGGGTACTCACTTGGGAGTAGCTCTTAGGTGGGCCTGGGCTCAGTATGGAACAAGGTGAGCTCCTGACTGAACTCACAGCCATTTCTCCCTTTCATCTATGGCCAGTGTGAGGACATAGGGAATGACTTGCCCCTCTGGTAGCTTACACAATGAATGTGTACACATTAGAAAAAAGCATTCCTTCCTCAAGACCCGTGACTACCATCTGCTGGGATGTGATGTTTCTAAATTAGCATGCACATCTATGAGCTACGAATGGGCCCCTGGAGTTGTGCAGTGTGAACACTGCATGCAGCAGCTCTGGCTCACCATGTCCCAGCTCTGTCTGGGCATATGTTGCAATGATTTGGAAGTTTTTGCCGAGTTGGCCCCACTTAGCAATCTGCTCATCTGAGCCCAGGCTTCTGAGCGCAGTCATGGCAATACCATGTAAGCTTAAGTTGACATATCCAGAAAGTGCTCTGTGGGAGAGAGAGATTATAGATGAGTAGCCTGTGGAAGACAGGTCCATAAACCTTCAACCCGGGTGGGGTGCAGGAGGGATGGGGTATCTGGCATCTTAGTGTTCCAGTAAGTCCTTTTTTTGCTGAGGGAAATGTCCCATGGGCCTGGGGGTTGCAGGCAAGCCTCTCTGGTAGGGTTGCCCCAGATGAGCACCTGTCAGCATAGTTGCGTTCAGGACTGCCTTCTGACCAGCCCAGGTGCCGGGCTAGCATCTCAAGGTGGAATCTCTTTTGAACTGCAGCCTCGTATTGCTCATCCTGGGTCATGAAGTAATGGTCCTTCAAGTTGAATATTGGATCACCTTGGAGAATGCTTTCTGCAGCAGAGAGAACAGGACTTTGGTGGTTTGGGTAAAGTTCCTGATACCTTCAAATTTTCCCACCCGCCCGCCTCATGGATTAGAGAAGGAAGCCAGCTGTCATTCATTTAACAAATGAAACAGTTGAGGGCCCCAAAGAGAGAAATGTGCTTTGCCCACTCCTGCAAAGTTATGCTCTGGTGGAACCAGGAGGACTGGAAGTTCTAGATCATCCTTGGCTACACAGTGGTTTGAGTTCAGCCTGGGCTACAAGTGGCCCTGTCTCAAAACAGCAAGCAGCAGCAGCAGCAGAAGCAAGAAACATTAGTTAAAGGAGCATGCAATTAGTTAACAGACTGTTCTAGAAGAAAACATGCAGGTTCAAAGCCAGCTCTTGATTCCTGCTTACCAACTTTCCTCCTCAGCACAGTGTTCTGGACGCCTCCATCAAGGATGTTGGTGAGCCGCTCCACACTGAAGGGTGGTGTGCACCTTTCGCTGTCTATGTCAGGGTGCACTTGCCTGCTCCAGGTGTCCCCCAGTGATACTCGGTGCACTGGACTCCCCATCCTGGATCTGCCTGGTGTCTGAGGGAGGATACGTCTGCCTTCAGAGTCTGCCCTGAGCTCTGGGAGGTGTTATCCAGGGCTTGATTACCTGAATGATACCACACTCATGGCTACTGGCTGTGGTCCACACACTGTTCACTAATGAATGCAGTGTGTGTTGCTCTGTCTGCAGTAGCCAAGGTCAGGATGGTTTGACCACAAAGCTCCTATTGCACACTCTGTAGCTGTGTTACAGCAGTGCCTGAGATAGTCTTCATGAAAATCAGTGGGAGCCGTGTGGAAGAGAACAGTCCTAGAGAGGGTGAGTGAGTGGCTACTACTAGAGATGGCTGAGAGCTGTCTGGGGTCTGACACATATCTTTCTCATAGTTTACCTTGCTGGAACGCTCACTGCAGGTCCCCCTCATCTCATTTATCTCCATTTCTATGATAACTAATGAACACTGTGGAGTAGAGCCTGATGGCATAGGCCTGGAATTCCATCTGCGTGGGAGGCAGAGGAAATCACAAAACTTACCTGGAGTAAAGAATGGGTTAAGGACAGTCTCGGTAATTTAGTGAGACTGTGTCTCAAAACAGTAGTAGTACAGTGGGGGAGTGCCTAGCATAAAGAAGACCCTGGGTTCAATCCCCATCACTGTAGAACAGGATGGAGGGGAGGAGGAGGAAGAAGCAGGGAGAGCTGCTCTCTTCCTGTGAAGCGCTCCCTGTGAAGTAGCCAAGATGGCCGTTTCCTCCTTCACACCAAACCTTTGGTCTTTTAGAAATCCCCATTCTCCCACAGCGAGTCAACAGCTAGTTATCGATTTACCATCTTTGAGCACCGTAACTCCATCTGTCCCTTGTCATCTCCTTGGCTACTACTCAGCCACCTTCATCTCTCACCTGGTCTCAGTGTCTCTGGTCATGTTTTCCTTTCTTGCTTGGAAATGGATCCTCAGTGTCCAGAAGGGAGACAATTTGTAGAAAGGAGTCCTTGTGTGACCACATACTTCCCACCAGCTAGCATGCCTTCACTTTATTCTCCACCCCCTCCTCCCGATCTTTGCCCTGTCTTTGCCTCTGGCCAAGGTTCAGCTCCCCAGTGTTTCTAGAGACTTCCAGCCTTTAGAGACCTTGCAATAATGCAACCCTTCCAACAGAGCATTCCTGTAAAAACTGGGCATCTCTCTGATGCATTCATGCCCAAAGCAGTGAGTGCTAGGAAGGTGACACTGTGTCCCCTGGTCCCAGAGTGTGGCTGTCAACTTTGCCTGCTGGCTGTCACTTGCTTTCCTTTCTCCCTGGAGCCTGAGAATACAGTAAGGGCCTAGTCATTTCGTAGTGAGGGCAGGACTGAGGAAGGGAGTCCCCTTGTCAGGCCACAGCCCATGCAGGCTTCTCAAGTGGTGCTGTGGGGTGCTGACAGGAGCCTGCCATACATAAGGAGCTCTTTGCTGGCCTGCCTTCCTGTGAGACTGCTAGCTGCCTCTTCTCTCTTCTTGTTTCTAGCTCCCTCTGTTCCGGATGCACTTGCTTGTTCCCTCTCCGGGCTCCTGCCATGGCTAGCCTTTGTCAGGGCTCTGTCTCTGCCTGGACACCCTTTCCTCAGATGTGACTGTGGCTTCCTCTGGCTCACCTCAGTATCAGGCCTCAGTAAGGCTCCCTGCAACTCCTTTAACAGCCCACGCCCCCTGCCGACATTGCTGATGTGCTTTGTCTGCCCTAATGTCTAACAGGCAGGACATTAACTCCTTACATTTTTGTTATTGCTTCCTCCTACCAAAGTGTAAACCTATAGGAGGTGCTTGTAAATAAGAGTAAAGGGAAGAAGGCAGTGTTCAGAGCCACTAAGGCTGCCTAGGCTCCTACTGCACCTTTGGTAGGGTCTTTCAGTTCTCTGTTGGCAGCCTGGGACTCACCTTGACTTGTCTCTTTCCCGGGGTAGCTCTGTTTGGCCTGGGCTGGCCTCTCTTCTACAGGCCCAGTTTTCTGACTGTTGGCTCCACCTCTTTCTCCTCCCTGAAGGCTGGAATTTACAGGCCCAGCCAGAGCACGGAGGCCTTGCCCTTTCCTGCCAGTGGGGTGTGCTGTGTCAGTTGCTAGACCATCTTGGAAAGATTCAGCCTCAAGTTTCAGAGCTAGGGATTCCTTTGAGGTGCTAGGACCTAAAGCCATGTTCCCACAAGGAAATCCTGGACCTGTCTGGGTGGTCCCTACTGTCCTGCCTGCAGGGAGGTGAGTTAGTCGATCACACAAGCAGAGCAGGTTCCAGGTGACTCATACGGGAAAGGGCTGCTCTGTGAAGGGATAGCATTGCTGTAATAAGGCCTTGTTTGTGTCATACTTATCATTAGAGTACACATACCTCCCTCCATATGTTTCATAGGGCACTGAGGAGAGGCAGGTCCCCACCTTTTCCCCTGGGAGGAAGGGTGAATCTTCATGATGTGAGAGGAGAGCCAGGCAATGCCATATGACCAGGTTGTGCAATAAATCAATCACCAATCTGAAATTTGAGCCAAATTTCAGGTGACAAAGATTAACTCCTGTTCCACTTGTGCAATATTGGGAAAGAAGTCACAAGAGCCAGGTCTCTTGGCAGGACTTCTGAAGCTTGATGATTCTTGTTAGGTGACTTCCTATTAGGGGACTTGTCCATTCTCTCTCTCTGTGATCATATGTGTGCATGTTTGAACATTTGAAAGTGTATATATGCATGGGCATGTTCATATGCACGCACACTTGCACACTAAGGTACTGCACAGCTCCCCAGTGTATCCCCAAGGTAGCATCTAGTTTGCTTTGCAGGAAGATGGCAGTTCCCCGTGACACAGGGTCATCTAATCTGTCATACTGGGACTGTGTAGCCTGGACCTCTGGCTGTTAGTAGTAACTACACATGGGTGATGGTTTCTGGTTAGATGTTTAGAGTGTGTATGTGTGTAGCAGTAGAAATGTGCCAAGGCATGCTTGTACCAAACATGTCCTTGAACCCTTTATCCTGCAGTGATTAGAAGCATATGCCACTGGGCTTTGCTTACTTTTATTTTTAATTAAGAAGTAAAAACATGTAGAAAAATGGAGAGAACAAAATAATGACCCCACATGTGTCTGACAGCCACATGCATCAGGCTTTACAACGCTCATCTAGTTTCCATCTGCTTGTGTGTGACAGTGGCAATCTCATGTTTTATTGCTCTTTGTTTTTAACTTTTTAGTTTGAATAACTTTAGACTTTTAAAAAGCTGTAAAAAGTAGCACAGAATTTGTATATACCTTCTAGTCAGCTTCCTCTAATGCTAATGTCTTATGTTCCCATGGTATTCCTAAAAAGTTAGGACCAACAAGATGACTCAGCCAATAAAATTGCTTGCCATGCAAGCCTAATGACTAGAGTTCAGTTGCTGATCGTGGTAGAGGAAAAGAACTGAACGTTCCCAAGAGTTGTCTTCTGACCTATACATGTACCGTGTTATACATCTGCCTACTGTAGTTAATTTATACAGTGTAAGGATTCAGCTTATGGTGTGCATGGGAAAAAGAGTGTGGTGTGCAGGCATAATGCAGGCTATCTTCTCCCCTGTGCATAGAGGTTACTTCTCCAATAGCCATGCGTGGCTGCATGCAAAAAGTGCTAGTAGCCAGGGACGCTTACCTGAGCTTGCTGTCCTGAGGGGCTGCAATTAGTTCTAGAGGTGAGGAGGACCTTACTTGGTTTCCAACCCAAAGACTTGCCACAAATCACAAGGATCAAGGCCCTAGATAGAGAACCTCTCTTCAGATAGGATCTCCCAAGAGCTGGAGGTTGCCTTTGGGAGCGGTCAAGGGCCATTTTATTGTTATTCATCAACCAATAAGAGAAACTATATACAGAAGGAGATCCCCATCATCTCCTCTTTTCTGTGTAAATAAAAAGGAAGGTTTTTAACTTTAACATAGTAAAATTATATAACAAAGGTTATCAAGCAAGAATTATAGTTACACTATTTATTTCATTAACATTTAGAGAAAATATTCTATCATTTGTCCTATCTTCATGAGTCTAAAGTTTTATATGTAACTTATCTTTTACCATAACTAAGGAAAACCATAACCATAACTGTCTTCAACTCTATCCAAGACCTCAGAAGGATAAATATAAACTCTAGAATTTAACAGAGACATTTCACTGCCTGGGCAGTCACCCAAAATTCCTCTATAACATTGGGGTATCCATCTTCAGCCTTCAGGCCTAGAGTATTTGGCAGACTTCTCAGTGAATTAGGAAATTTGAAACTGTCCTGCCTGTATTGGCACAGTCACTTTTCTCTGTGTCCTGCAGACTGTCTGGCAGACTTTTCCATGAAGCAGGAATCCTTCACGACTGTCACATCTTGTTTTGGCAAGTTCAGCAATCACTTTCCTGTCCAGTTTATATAGAATACAGGTAGACAGTCCAGGCAAGAGCAGTTTCTTGTTCAAATGGGTATTCCTGCCATGTTGAAGGCACAGTCCATAATGGGTTTCTTTGATGCCCATCTTCCTCTCAGACATAATTGGTGTTGCCAGGAGCAGTTGTGTCTCATTGTCATGAAAAACCCATAAACCATTTTAAAGGTCATATTTTGTAGATTTTTGAAAGGTTTTGAAGAATGCTTATCCATTTGGAATATATCTCTGTATATCTAGAAAACCTAACATAACTATAAGTTTTGACTATTATAGGTGATTATCTATAAATTTGTATTTTTATTATACATTACATTTTAAATGAGCTATATAAACACAATATCTAAACAAGAGTAGCAATATACATATAGCAAAATTGACCTTATATAGCCAACCCCATTTGAATGAAAACAAACATTCATAAACTATATTTGGGAATGTGAACATAGGTCTCTGGGGGCAAACTGCTTCGTGCTGTCAATCCCATAGGGATCCTGACCAAATCCTGGCTGTATCGGTCTGAGGCTGCATAGTCTCAGCTGTTTTGGATGTTGGATCACCTAGGCCACTGCTTCAGGGGGTCTTGCTTGATCAAACAGTATTAGTCTGAAAGGAATTCACATCTTTTTTATCTTCTTTGGAAACAAAAATAAGAA